TTTAAACTCACATCTGACTGCATGCATTTTCAGTGTGAGATGTTGTTATCAACTGTTGTTCTGGTTCTATTGTCACTAATCAGTTCATGACTATTGTTACCAATCAGTTCATTTGATTAATAATCAGTTCACTTGTTATTATTAATCTGTTCATACTGATCAGCCGTTAATCTGTTGGCTCATGGCCCTTTTTCAGCATCTTCCTTTTCCCCGTTGAAAGTTTTTCGGGGCGTTCATGCACTCAGAACGCATAACTACACAGCATGCGTCTGTGCATGGTATGCATAATTACACAACGCGTAATTACGCACATGGAGAGCTGAGTGACAAGACGTTTTTGGGCAAGCTGCTGCTTCGTATAGTGTTCGAATGGACCCAGTGAGGCAAGGACTACATCTGATTCGCCCTTAACCCACTAAGCGACAGCTCTTAAAGGGCGAAGCCTATATGAAATAGAACGTTGGTTACGTACTGTAACCCCAGATTCTATGAGTATAGGCATAGCCCTTTAAGCGTCGGGCCTCACTGGCTCCTAAATGGCTGAAGAAAAAGCTATTTGGGAGCCTATTACCCACTCCTAACATAATTTATACGGACCGGGTGGGGCCCACACAACAGGTGGGCGTGGACTAAATTTTTCAGTGCGATGCTTTGCATGACGGGATAAACCCACTAAGTGACAGCTCTTAAAGGGCTACGCCTATACTCAGAATCTGGGGTTACAGTACGTAACCAACGTTTTGGAGCAGGGCAGAGGAGAGACAGACACATCTCAGCATCAGCAGGTTTTTTTGGGGTGGGGAGGAGGAGAGACAAACACACATGATCCATGCGCTATTTGTACAGACAGTTTTCGATTAAGTGTGTGTGTGTGTGGGGGGGGGGGGGGTGTCAGCGTGAGGGTTCAACATGAGGGAAGAGGCTGCCTTTTCTTTTTAGATAGTCGCTTGCATTGCAAACTGCTAGTTTAGCGTTACGTCAGTGCCGACAGGTGGTTGGGGGCGGGGTTCGGTAGACAGGGAAATTGGCTCTGTTGATGGGGTGGTGTGCCCCGCCCCCGCTTGTATAATGGTAGGGGAAACACTGTACACTATCCCTCTAGTGACTTCTGGGTCTTCCCTGGGGCCTCCTACCAGTGGGGTGTGCCAACTAAACCTCTAAAGGGAGGCATCCAGGAGACATCCTAATCAGATGGCTGAACCACCTCAACCGACTTCTTTCGATGCAGAGGAGCAACTACTCCGAGTTCCTCTTGTATTACGGAGCTTCTCATCCTGTCTCTAAGGCTAAGCCTGGCCATCCTGCGAAGGAAGTCTATTTCAACTGCTTGTATCCGAGATCTCATTTTGTCTGTCAAGATCCAAATCTCATGACCATAGGTGAGGGTTGAAACGAGGGATGTGCGATATGGCATAAAATTCATATCATTATATGTATTGTGATGGGTGGCGATAACAATATATATCACGATATGTTTTTGGTATAAAACTTGCAATAGGAATGTAAAAAAGCAAAGGGTGTCCTTTTGCCATTATTTATTTTGAAAACTGCTATACCACAACATAATATCAATTAAGAAAATTACACTACTAGGTCCAGAGTGTTTTAAAATAATAAACAAATGAAGTATTAGGCTTCTTTCTTGTAGTGCAAAGCAGTGCAAAATATATCTAATATAGTTTTAGCCATATGTTTTAAACAAAATAATATGTTGTTAACTCGTAACAGTTTCCAGTCTCACTTAAGAAATGAACAGCAACAGAGCAGCATTTTACACTGAAAACACTTCACCCTCCAACCCTCTAGTGGGCGTCTCCTTCCGCTTTAATGGAGAGCTGACACAAAATGGTGACCAGTTTCCTCTGTGGCTTTGATCAGAGGGTTTTGCAGTAAAATCACACAACACAGCATTCTTTTCACAGATCAGAGAGCAGGTTTCTCTAAAGCTAACCAATGCTTACTTTAACTTTCGACGAAAAAAAGAAAAAACTTTTGACGGAACACAGCGTTTTGCGCATGCATCCGAATACCGCAACACTACAGCAAGCCGGTCATAGTTAGCTTGTAGCTTCGCTACTTAGCTCTCGAATAAATTACTTTAACACCACTTACGCACAGTTTTCAACTAAAAAAAGTAACGATTAAACTGACAACTCTGATTTTACATCAGACACAGCATTACTGCAGTTAGCCAGTAGAAGACAGATCTCTATCGTAGGCTAAATGTCTATCTTTTCTACCGTGTACCATATATATCGCGCATTCCTAGTTGAAACAAAGACAGATCAGTAAATTGAGAGCTTTTTCTTTTGACTCAGCTCTCTCTTCACCATGACAAACCAAAGATATGCCGAGGCCCCTGTCCGTCGATCCATCTACCACTCTATCCTACCATCACTCGTGAACAAGACGCCCAGATATTTGAACTCTTCCACCCGAGAAAAACACTCTCCCCTGACCCAGAAAGGGCATTCCACCCATTTCCAGTCAAGAACCATGGCCTCAGACTTTGAGAAGCTAACTCTTATTGGAGCCGCTTCACACGTACACTCAGCTGCAAACCACCCTATTGCATGCTGAAGGTCTTGGCCTGATGTTCAATGTTTTATGTTATGAGTGCTTAGTGTATATTTAGTTGATGTTTTTCTTAGTTCATATCGTAGATGTTATTACTGTTTTTCTTAGACATTTTATTGTTGGATGTAACTGGGACCCCGTGTACATAATTTCGCTCCACCACATGTACCACATGAGGTGCGAATGACAATAAAGAAACTCTGACTCTGACTCTGAAGATAGAAACAGAACAACATCATCTGCAAAAAGCAGAGAGGAGACCCTGAGGTTCCCAAACCAGACACCCTTTTTTTCACGACTGCATCTCAAGATCCTGTCCATGAACAAAACAAACAAGATCAGAGACGAAGGATAGCTCTGACAGAGTCCAACTTGCACTGCAAACAAGCTTGGCTTTGTGCCAAGAATGCGGCCACAATTCCTGTTTTGATTATACAGGGACTGGATAACTCTTAAAAGCAACCCAGGCACGCCATACTCCCGCAGCCCCCCCCACACACACACACAGAATGCCTTGAGGAAAATGATGATAAGCCTCCTCCAGGTCCACAAAACTCATGTAGACTGAAGAAGCAAACTCCCATGATCCCCTTAGCAACTCCGCCAGGGTGAAGATCTGGTCCACTGTTCCACGACCAGGATGAAAGCCACATTGCTCCTCCTGAATCCAAGGTTTGACAATCAGTTGGAGTCTCCCTTCCAACACCCTAGAATAAACTTTCCCAGAAATGACGAGAAGTGTGATCCCTTGATAATTGGATAACACTCTTCAATCCTCCTTTTTAAAAATGAGAACCACCATCCCAGTCTGCAACTCCACAGGCATTGTCCCAGTCCTTCATGTGACACTGAAGAAGGGATATGTCAACCATGACAGCCCCACAACATCCAGAGTCTTCAGAATCTCTGAGCAAATCTCATCCACCCCTGGTGTCCTGCCACCGAGGAGCTTTTGGACTACCTCGATGATCTCTATCATGGTAATGGACTAATCTTTCCCCAAGTCCTCAGACTCTGCCTCCTGAAAGGTGGACATGGTGGGTGGTTAGAATTCCCACAAATTCCTCCCTTGGCCAAATCTGTGCATCTGCAACCACTGAAGCTGCCATCCTTCTGGCCAGCCTGACGGCTTCTATCACCGCTGGTGTCCACCAGCGGGTTCTTTGGTTGCTTGCCTCCATGACAGATACCAATGACCTTTAGGCCACAGCTCCTGGACACCGCCTCTGCAATAAAGCCCCTGAACATGGCCCATTCATTCCATGTTCCCGACCTTGCCCCGAGACATGCGAAAAACTCTCCCAGAGGTGTGAGTTGAAGATCACACTGACAGGGAGCTCCACCAGATGTTCCCATTTTATCCTCACTATACATTTGGGTATACCAGATCTATATGGCAGCATCCCCCACTGTTGGATCAAACTCACTACCAGGTGGTGATCAGTTGACAGCTCTAGCCCTCTCTTCACCCAAGTGTCCAAGACATACGGTCCTAAGTCTGACGACATGATTACATCTATCATCGACCTTTGGCCTAAGATGGCCTGGTATCACGTACACGTGACACACTCAAATTGACAAACATTGTGGTTTGAGCACAATGACTTGTTACGATACTGCCCACTTTGCGTTGAAGAGCCTGCCCACAGAGCGAAGAAACAAGTTACAGTCGCAAATCACCTACACCTGAGAAGAACCAAAAAGATGAAAGCTGAGTGGAGTCGCACTTATCAACTGCAAACCTGCTAATGAGTAAACTGCAAAAAAACATTAACTTAATGTTAACTATTGGTGCTTTAGGATTTATATTCTACTGTATTTCATTTTCAGGTTTTTACAAGACTGGTGTTAAATAGATGTATTCTTCCTTCCTTTAATCAAAATTTTTCCATACCTTTGCTCAAAGCCCAAACCATGATTTTTCCACATCCATGCTTAACAACATGTGTACATAACATCATAACATGTACATAATTTTGTTAATTTTGTCCCACCTCATGTACCACATATGGTGAGAACGACAATAAACCTACTTGAACTTGAACAAGTCTTTAATGCGAGCCATTAACAGGAATGGTGTACTAAGGTGGTTTATCATTAGTGTAAATAAACACAGAGGTATATGTAGATGAACAATCTGATGCTAAACTGATATGGGGTGAACAGTTACCACAATGTCACTCTTGGACACTCCTCTGTGTAGCAGCTAGCTTTACTTCCTCAGGAGAGTCAAGGAGACAAAAGTTAACTCATTCTATCCTCAAAGTTTGAAGAATTTGAGCTCATTTAGGAGCTGCACCTGTAAAACAACTGCTTCTGTTTCTATGCTACTTCAGACTGAGTAAAAAGCAATGTGGCAGTCTGCTGGAGAGAGATGCACGACAAGAGCCTCAATAATCTGAATGACAGCTCTAGGTTAGCACCTGTGGAGGGATGATATCGAAGAGGTCTCCTGCCAGAGCATACTCCTGCGCAAAGACATAGTAGTCGTCTGTCTCGAAGGCAATGCCGAACATGTTGATGATGAAGGGGCAGGGGGACAAGTACAGAGAAATGCTGTACTCTCGTAGAAAAGACTTCAGCTTGGTCGTCTTTTTCTTCAGGAACTTCAGAGCCATTTTTGTACCTTTTGAGAAAAAAAAGTTTTGTAATTTTTTCTAGTCCTTTCATAATAAAGCAGCATGCCTTTGGGGCTCGGCTCACCTCGGATCTTGTGGATGACCAGGTCCACCTTGCCATAGGTCCCTTTGCCCAGCTCTCTAATCACCTCGTAGTACTTGTTAACCTCCAGTTTCTCCAGGTTTTGAGCAGCGATCAGCTGCAGTTCATCCAGGATGTCCATGTTGGCTTGAGAGGAGCTCATGCTGGGGAGTGCTTCAAAGGATGGACTGGTAGTGGGGGATCCAGAAAACGGATTCTCAGACGAGACCAGTGAGGTGGTTAGCAACTGGTGTCACTACACAAAAACAAGAGAAGACACCATTTCAAACATGTTGCCTTTGGGACAAAAGATGTACTGAAACCTATTTAAGCAACAACTTTTACTAAAAAACTGCTAAAGCGTATGTGCTAAAACACGCCTACTGTTATTCTAGTGTGATTGTGGGAATGCTGAGTCAGCAATAGTCATTTTCTTGTTTTTCTGTACACTTTTTCCAATTTAACTACTTCTGCATACTTGTGTTACTTTCGCCAGTTATTTATTAAAATGTTCAGCTCATTTAGTAGATGGGCGGTGTGATTTTTGGTTCTGGTAACTTTTATACTTTTTACCATATTAAACCTTACTTACAAGTATTTCTCCTAAATAGTACATGGAGATATCTTCAATTTTGTTAAAACCATTGTTATTTAGATCTGCTTCAGCATAGTAGCTCTGTTTAAAAAAAAAAAAAAGAATGCTACATTTAACCTTAAGGTAAAATTTTGCTACTTTTGTCTTTAAGTTAGTTTTCTACCTTTTCAGATTTTAGCTGGTGTTCCATTTCTTTTAGCTTTAACAACTCAAGGTTTAGCTGCTTCAACAAATTTCAGGAGTGTTTTTCAGCACTCACTTTGGCAGAAAATACAGTCTTTCTAGTTCTTTTTGTTTCTTTTTGCTTCAGTCACAGGCTAGCTAGAGCTAAAGCTATGACAAAATTGCCCCTCCACCCCCCAAAAAGCTAAATATTTCCCCATGCACAACAATAGCATTTAGGTAAAGGAGGGAGAAATCTCAGTCCTTTCCTGAGCTCTGCAACTCAGACATACTTTACTTTGCAACAGAAGCAGCACCTTTTCCTGAATAAATCAATATATATATATAGGAGGGTTGATTACTGAGTGAATGCAGCTGGGGCAAATAAGCAGGACAGTGTGAATGTTACTGAAGGCAAGAATGACTGAGCAAAAACAAAGGAAACATAAACCAGAAAAATAACTAATCAAAACAAGAAGGGAATGAAACTTCCAAAACTAAACACAAAACCTTAAGAACATGACAGTATCCCACCCCCCCACCCCCCCACCCATGACTCCCAGCATCCCAACAACAAAATAAGTCCATTAGTAGCAAGGAAGAGTCCAGAATGGAGAGACCAGACAACAGAGTCCAAAAAAACCCAAAACATCTGGGCACACTGGATCAGGGTCTGGCACAGATAAATGGATAGATAGATGGACGGGCTGATTGATTGTTTGATTGATCGATCCCAGGGGGAAATTTGAGGCATCCAGTAGAATGTTCTAATTACGTATACAGAAAAAAAAAGACATGAAATAATCAAAAAAGATGCAGAATACACAAATTTGTAAAAACACAAGGTGGTAGGAGTACTACATTCATGTGTGTATATATATATATATATATATATATATATATATATA